GTCCAACGTTTACCTGAGAGCGCCATCAGAGGATTTTCCCCCCACAAGTTACTTGTCTAATTATTTTTCCAAATGTTGGGGGAAAACAAACAAAACATAAAAGAAAACCAGTTTCCCTTTGGTCTACCTAGCTTATTCATGAGTTAGGCTATCTACCCGTCAACTAGGGCCTTTGTTATAAGAGAGAAGTTTATCCATCTTCCTTTCTGATGGTAGATGTTAAGAGCCACTTTTAAACGGACTTTCTCAATGTCCCTTGTGGAGTGCTACTCCCTTAGCAGTCGCTCCTGTGGAAGACCTCCTGGATGGTGAGAATGTAGCCTCTGCAGAATCACAACCGCTGATTATGCTTAGGGTGCAGCCTTGTGTTTAGCGTGCTGTGTGAATGAAATCCACTATGTCCCCTTATCTTCTCTCTCCCCAGGGTCACATGGATGAAGATGTCCAGGCAGCCTTACTCCAGATCATACAGATGCGGCAGGGGCTGGTTTGCTAGCGGTTCCAGGCGACTTGCCCCATCTGCCTGTCTGCCGGTGCCGAGTAATCACTGCGCAACTTCACAGCCCTGTCTGCCGGGCCCTCCTTGTGTGCTCCCCAAATGAAAATAAAGTGTGTTTTGTTCCATCAGTAGGTTTTGTCTTTCAACCTAGACGAGTATGCCACTGAGTTTTTCAGTATCAGTTCAAGTCTTACATTCGAAAGACGTAAATGTTATAGTTTGCGAACAGCATCACCCTTTGCCTTGGGTTGGCATTACTATTTTAAACCATTGTTTACTTCCTAATAAAACAGGAACAGGTTGGTGATGAAGAAGTTCTGGGCTGGATGAATTGTTTAAAGGCACTTCTCAGAGAAGGTAATGGGGTGGGTGCCATGTTCAAGTGGATCAGCACGACCTTTCAGATCCCCTTTGCCCGTGACGTTCACTGTGGTTTCCAGAAATTCCCAGCACGTGGCCACCGCCCTCCGGACGGCAGGAACTTAGTGAGTTGCCTTTGGAGATTTTCTCCTCCTCCTTCTTAGCACGCCTCTTTTTTGTCTCTCACTCGTTTTCCTTCCGTGCATTTCTTCCCATAAATGGCTGGCCGTACTAAATCACATCTAGATGAAGCGCAGCCAGGGTGGAGTTACCAGGGATTGATGATCATACCAGTGTCTCCTCATCCCCACGACAGTATCTTAATTTTCACTTGTGGTGACTCTTTTTGCCACCGTCTTTAAAAACTCCGATAAATGGTTTGCTCGATTTCTCCAAAGTGTCAACAATCATCGACTTGTTGTTGTTAGGGATTGCTTTGACATTCGCTACTATAGTAACCAAGCACTCATTCCACATGCACCCTCCAAATGTTTCCTGCTTATTTATAGGAAAATTGCACTAATGAGATTAATAATGTGAAATGCCGTTTTCTTGCAAGATGAGCATTAGAGTATTATTTTAGAAAACATATCTTTTAAGGTTTTAGACAAAAATGTAATAACACAGTAAACGGCAAGAACACAGATAACAAGAAATTAACAAACTCAGCCATTTATAGTAAGCATGCTAATTAACCCACCATTTTTACTAACTACATCTCATTAAAGAAAGTTTATATAAATAGAAATCTGTTTATATAAACGTTCTTTAATGAGATGTATACAGATATATATATATATATATATTTGTCTGTTCTTTTTATTAATATGTTTACCAAGCTGATTGAAAAGTGCCAGTTTGTCAGCGAATAATCTGACAAATGATCTTTTGTTCAAGTTTTCTAAAACGAAGTCAGGTTTTCATAAATTGCAAAATGTGCCTTAGCAATCTGCCCTGGGCCTCTTGAATCAAATTCAATCCCGCTTTTGTCCAGTCACAAGGACACGGGCCTTCAAAGCCGCTCTTCCTGTAAAGGAACACGTCATCAGGCTTCCTCAGTGCGGAAACAAACGGAGCAAAGTCAGAACTGGGCTACTTCTTGGTTCTGTGGGCTTAGTGTCTTTCAGGATTCCGCGTGCTGTTCGTCAGCCGGAGTTCTGCTCACAAGCCTTGGGTGACGTGCCACAGCGTTGGGGAGAGCAAAGTTCTGTGCAGTGCTGCATCCTGACAGCTCACTGCTGTCTTTCCCTGGTAGGGGTGGTAAAGGGAGCCTTTCGTATTCATTGATTGTGTCTTCAACCATCAATAAAGCGTGCTCTGTGAAGTGTTGTTTTGAATGTCCTTGTGAAAACAGGATTTGCAAGTTAAGCCCATGCAGGGACCACCTTCAAAGACTGGAGCAGAGGAGGCAGGGCTGCAGAGCACCAGTGCCGGCTGTGAGAAGTCTGCTTGATGTGGCTCGTTTGAGGGAAACACCAAGTAACCTGGAATCGATCCCATTGTTTGGTTCAACTCACCTGATTTCAGAGGCCAGCTTGCGCACGGCACTCACAGCTAATGAGCAGGTAGCACACTGGCAGCGGGCAGTGCTGGTCTCTGCTGATCCCTGTTCTCACAGATTCTAAAACCCGAGGCAGGAGGATGTTCCCAGTTCAATCCTTTGTTGAAAGCCATTGCTTTGTTGACAGCGGTCCTTTTGCTTTTCTACCACTCCCGCCTCAAGTAGAAGAGCTCCTTCCTTCCGACAGAGGGTCAGAATTATACATAATTGTCTACTGATCTAAGATCACACACCTGGCAGTGACTGAGCCCTGGTGGCACTGCCGGGTAAGCTAACAGAAAGGTCGGTGGTTCGAGCCCACCAGGTGGTGCCCTTCGGGAGACAGCTGAGCGGAGCTGTAAAGATGTGCAGCTTCGGAAGCCCTCTCTTGGATCGCTGTGAGTGAGAACGCACCCGGCGGCTAGGAGTCGTGTTGAGCTGCGCCTGTTCTGCTCTGAAAGCCCAGGTGAGTTTGCCTCCGTCATTGTCATGCTTGCTTTTCTCCAAACCATTTATTTCCCTTGCCCCGAACGAGCTCTTTTCCAGTTTCAATGTCCCTGTGATGATAAATGTGTTTGTGGACTCATTACTGCTCAGAACGCTTTTTCTCCCCGTGTTACCTGTGAGCCCTCCAACAAGGACCTTAACGAAACTGTCCTGGCCCACGCGTGCCCTGCCTGGCACAGCATCTCTGGCCCTCTAGTTTCAAAGCAGACGTGGGAAGAGTTTCGAGGTGAGCTTTGCAGGCCCTGATGATGTCTGTACCAAGCGAGCCTGCTCACACACATGCCAGGACGCAGCCGAGACAAGCTTTCCTTCGCTGCTCTTCCGCGTGGGGGAAGGACAGGCACTGCTCACTTCCCCTCTGGCTTCCTCTTCACCCCTGTGGTGGTCTTCTTCCCCTTCTTGCGTGTTCCACACCTACGTAGTTGTAGTGCCCCCAGCCCTGCAAATAGGGACGGAAAGGGGATTGCTTGTGATACACACGTGAAATGTGGCTGCGCACACCTGGGGTGAGAGCTAGCGCTCACTCCTCGTCACTGAATATTACTCGTTTTCCGAAGGCAAACAGCAACCGAGTTTGCACGGATACAAAACAAAATAATAAGGCCGGTGGGCTCTCCTTTCATTCAGCGATGTTCTCCACCCAGCGGGACCAGAGACCTCCGTGTCAGGGCTTCCCTGGTTTCCCTAAGTTTTTATCCCTAGCCACTGGACTCAGGAGTGCCTGGGTGATGCCAACCTTTAAGCACTCCGCTGCTAACCAGAGGTGGCTGGTTCAAATCCACCCAGGGTGCTTCGGAAGAAAGGCCTGGCAAGCTACTGAAAAACCAGCCATTGGAAATGCTGTGCAGTCTAGTTGTACTCCGACGCACACAGGGCCGCCATGAGTCAGAGTGGAAGGCACGCACCCGGTTTCGTTCAGTGCTTCTGCCTCAGGACTGTGTAGCCCAGCCTCTCCAGGCAAATGTCAACCTGCTTCCTAGCGTGGCGTCTCGGGGCCACACTGCATGTGTGGGCGCTTGGTTCAGTGAGTCAGAGAGACTTGAAAGGAGAAACTAGAGCCTGCAGCCGGATGGCATCCCAGCAGGCCTCCCCGGGCAGCAGGAGCGCTCGTGTTCTGCATAATTGGGCTCTGGCGTCACTTCTCTATCAGAGGGCATTTTCATATTTCATTATTTATGCCTGCGTGAACAAACATCGATGATGAATGCATTCAGCTGCAAAGGGGAGGTTACAAAATGTTCTACAGGAATGGAAAAACAAGAATTGTGAGGACTGTGTGTGTGTGTGTGTGTGTGTGTGTGTGTGTCTCCATTAGAGTGAAATAAAACAATGCAAACAACAGCAATAAGAAAGCACCTCTTATAATTAATATTTTGAACCAAATTGTTGTACTTAATGGGTCCGATTTTTAGTTTATATTTCAAGCAGGTTTGCCAATTTTTTCACCACCCTCCCTCCTCCGCCCCCCCTCCCCCCAAGAACAGTCTTGGGAATATTCAGAATTCTGGAAAGAGTTTAGCGAGGTTATTGCCTTCTTAATAATTTAGAGCTTCTATTGCTCTGCCAAGTCAGAAGATTAACATTTAATAGAAAAAAATTATATATCTATAATTCAGTCACAGCTATTAGATCAGATGGATTTTACATTAAGTGAAAAAGATGTTGAGCATTTAAGGCCCATTAAACGACAGGACTCTTTTATTGGATTTTAAGGCCTCCAAGCCAGGGTCCTGCTGCGAAGAATATTTATTTTATATGTACAGAACACATTAAAGATGGAGAAAGGGCACACATTTTAAAAGAAAATAGGCCATGAAAAAGTGTGATTTTCCACATTGTGAATAGCTACCATACAGCTCCAGTCTTATTTTAGAGTAATTAGTTTCATGCATCATTAAGTAGCTTTCTTACGGGCCAGTAGGAGGTGGTGGAGGCCCCTTTAAAGCTGGTACCTGCAGCAAGTCCAAGCAGCTGTGTGCTCTCTGTTGCTGGTTCACCTCCAGCAGCCGCATTGCTAGTAGTTTACAGCATATTTAGTCTCGGTCTTTTGTGAAGAATGTAAGTGTGGAAATGCCTTCTGGAAGAAGTCCCAGAGAGAAGGTTCTGATACTAAGAGTCTACCTGTTCGAGTCATGCCAGATTATCAGTGCGGGACTGGAATGTGACCCTTGAAATCAGCCACTTGCCGGTGGAGAGGAGACCTACCGCATGGCCCTGTTTAAGTGCTCTGTGTTGTTGGATTTAAAGCATGACAAGCAATATCCTGATGAGTATAAACATTGCCTGCTATTTACACTGCCTCCTGCCCCATCCCGTCCTCCACAAAGGGTTGGATGGTAGGTGTCTAGAAGCAAATAAAGAGAGTGTGGGAATGGCGTTAATAGCGTTTGCAATGTGTTCTCCCCCCTCTACAATGTCCAAACAAGTGTGATTTCCCCCCTTGCTTTTCCAGGCTGCTTTGAGCTGCCTCTCACTGAAGTGGCACCTCGTGGGCTGCTTCAGAAATTCTCTTCAGGATTTAAAAATGAAGCTGATTCATATTCAGAGTCTTTTCTGCTGAAATCTGTTAAAGCCAAAATAAAAATGACTGCTATTTCCTTCTTGCTCCCCCCTCCTCTCTGTTGTTTGCTGCCTTGAAAAAAATATTGCCTCCTTTCTTCTGGGAGTTGCAAGGTCTCATTAGCACACAATTAAAAGTCACTCTTCTCAGCGCCCATGGGG